TTCTGGGTAGTCACGTGAAATAAAATCATTGACTGTGGGAGGAAAATAACTCCAGTGTAATCCCCCACACAGCACAAAGTCGCTTAAAAGCTCTCCAATTAGTCCACAGTCAAACACCGTGAGGCTGTACAGTTACATCCAAAGTAGAAGAAAACATTGGTCGGGAACAAGGTATAATTTCCTAGAACCTCCAATGTGGTTCCCCAAAAAGCTGAACATTGATCTATCACCGTCAGATCTATCTGCTTAGATGCAGAGGTCAGTGCCCAGCAGAAAGATCCAACACTGCACTGGAGGAACTATGACAATAGAATTTATTGTTCCTGGCCGAGGATTCTTGCTCAGTATATCATTACCATACAAGATGCATAATATATGGAATATATATTACCGTATTATACAGTATTTATATGGCACCAACAGTTTGTGCAGCGCTTTACAATATATGGGAGACAGTACAGTTGCAATACAATTCAAGACATGATGGTTAGGAGGGTCCTGCTCCTGAGAGCTTACAATCTTAAAGGGAGGGGCAAGTGATGTAAAAGTTGGCAGCTGTGTGGGAAAGAGTTGTTTGAGAAAGTAAAAGTTCAGTTGATAGGTAGGAGGTGTGATAGGCTTCTCTGAAGAGATGAGTTTTCGGGGATCACGTAGAAGCAGACAGAGTGGGAGATAGATGGACAGGTTGGGGTAGGGAGTTCCAGAGAATAGAAGAAACTCTGGAGAAGTCCTGGAGGTGAGAATGGGAGGAGTTATTGAGGGGGAGAGAGCAGGAGGTCTTGGGAGGATCAGAGAGGACGGTTTAGGTGATACTTTGAGGCGAGATTGGAGATGTAGCTGGATAGCTTTTTAAGTGGTTATTAATATTTTGAATTTTATTCTTTGGGTGATCAGAATCCAGTGGAAGGATTGGTGTCAGCACAGAGAGAAGAACATACGTCACCAGCACTCCAGGGATCCATCAATAGTCCAAATATTTATTGAAGTGAACAAGTGTCAGTGAAACATTTCAAGGCCACCTAGAACCTCTTCAGCACATGCCTGACCAAAGGGCCCTGTGGTGCCTTGAAACGTTGCACTGACGCTGTTCACTTCAGTAAACACTTGGACTATTCATGATGGATTCCTAGCATGCTGGTGACATATGTTCTTCTCTATGTGCTGACACCGGCTACAGCACCATCATACTTAGACCCTGGACCAGGAACGTGTGTGATACATCTCACCAACCGCAATTGGACTATTGATGATGGATCCCTGGTGTGCTGGTGACATATGTTCTTCTCTCTGTGCTGACACCGGCTACAGCACCATCATACGTAGACCCTAGACCAGTGGTTCAGGACCCACATTTCTCTTTGGTCATTAGGTTGCGACCCAAGTCGCACTGTAATTGAATCCACGGCATTGCATTACCGGAAGTTTGGGTGCAGACGATCGGACTGTGGGCAGGAGGTGCGTTTGGGGTGTCATTCAAATTAATGGCAACGCAACACACCTACCACACCAGAATGCGCAGTAAGTGAAATTGCGTGGTACAGTGCATTAATTGCATGGGACTGTGCGATTAACACACTGTACTAGTGTGAACGGACCCTCGAAAACACTACAGGCACACACAACCACAGACACAATCTCACACGCTCAGACAATCTCGCACACACCTCCACACCCAAAAAAAATAATAATAATTTATATATATATATCATTTTTATTTTAGATCCACCCAGTCTCCCTATTTTATGAGAACAGGAGTTGATCCTCAGCTTGGTATCCAGTGTGGGCTGCTGTGCTGTGATGGAGCTCCAGCCATAATGTGCATTGTTTCTACAGCTGCCTTGCACACCCTGTGGAGGTGTCGGGAGCCAGAATTTGGCGTCAGTCCAGGCACCTTTACAGGACACATGTGGGAGCTGTAAGCAATGCACGTATGGATGGATCTCCCTAATGGCCATACTTCCAGCCCACCCCACTTCAAGCTGACACGCAGGGCCAGGCAACATATTTGAAATGGCTGCTCAGCACAAGAACTGACGGTGCTGCACTAGGGGGAGGCTGAGGAGTCTCTCACATAGAAAAGTGGAAGGCATGTGGCGACCCACTGAACATGGAGTAGCGACCCACTTTTTTGGTCACAACCCACTAGTTGAGAACCAAGGCCCTAGAGCAGTAACCTGTGTGACCCACCTCACCAACCGCAATTGGACTATTGATGATGGATTCCTGGAGTGCTGGGGACATATGTTCTTCTCTATGTGCTTACACCGCCTACAGTACCATCATACTTAGACTCTAGAGCAGGAACCTGTGTGACCCACCTCACCAACTGCAATTGGACCATTGATGATGGATCCCTGGTGTGCTGGGGACATATGTTCTTCTCTCTGTGATGAGGATTCTAGTACAATGGAGGTTCTCTGACACCATCTTGTTCCTGGCTGAGGATTCTACTACTGTAAATGTGACCGTCAGTATTTATCAGAGTAACTGAATACGTTTTTATGTGACTTTGTGCTATGTGGGGGATTACACAGGAGGTATTTTCCTCCCACTTATTATTTCCTAAGTGGCTCTCCAGGAAGTATCAGTATTTGACAGCATTGTATGCATATCGCAATGACTATTAAACTGCAACTGAAGCCTGTTTTGCTGTCTGTGTGCCCTTTAGTGAGATTCACCCTCTCTATTTGTCCTGGTGAATGTTATCAGTAAAAGTGCAAGAAGAAAATCCCAAATTGTGGGTTGTCACCAGAACAGGAACAGATGGGAAATCAACCAATGGGGACACTAGAGCTAATGACCCTGCTGAACACCAGGGATTTCCCTGTCATTGGATGGATTTCCTCTTACTTCATTTTGTGGTTATTGGACAGGAAGTGAAGGAACATTTTCCCCATGGGACAGAGATGACAAAAAAAAAAAGAGCTGACAGGGACAACAACCCTCACTTATTCTATCCAAACTCCCAAAAACGTTTTGGCTTCAGTCCTACTTTCATAAAGACTGGGTGACCATTTATTTCTTCTGTCAATGCTGGTTATTAGTGAGACTGATTGTTAGAAATGAAACCCTGACAAAAATGGTAAATCTTCCCCGGTCTTTACAAAACCAGAGATAGGGTCCCTTCACACTGCAACGTGGTGGTGTGGCCATTGAAACAATACAAACTGCCTTGTCTGTGGGTTGGGAGCATGCTGGAAACAAGTGGCCAGTGCAGCCCCAAAGCTTCTGGTGTGACCGAGTCCTATAGCTCACCATACACTTTATAATCTGACCATACAATCCATGTACAACCGACTTTACATATAGTTACATAGTATTTGAAGTTGAATAAAGACATAAGTCCAACCTATTGCGTGTATGCATTTATGAGCAGGTGTGTGCGTGTATATGAGTCCCTGTGTGATTTTTTTCTCTTAGCAGTACCTGTACCCCTGTATATTATGGTCTCCAAGGAACTCGTCCAGGAGTTTCTTGAATGATTCAACACTCTTAGCTGAAATCACTCCTGCGATCCTGCGACAGCGAGTTCCAGACCTTAACCGCTCTAACTGTGAAGAACCCCTTGCTGAATGTTGAAATTTTTTTCCCACCAATTTTTGGTTGTGCCCTCTGGTCTTTGTTATGCAGCTAACCATAAACAGTTTGTTACTGAGGTTGCTGTCACCCTTGAATAGTTTGTACATGAAAATCATGTCCCCCCTTAATCTCCTAACCTCCAACAAGAACATATTTAATTTTAAATAACCTTGTTTCATAGTTCAGATCCTCGAACCCCTTAATGAGTTTGGTTGCCCTCCGCTGGATTTAGATTTACCGAACCTATGTAATATATGGGCTTACCTAATCCATCCAATCAATTTGTATCCAATTAGGCAGGCCCTTGCACTACATAGTTTTGGCAAATCCAAAGTGTATAAAGAATGCACGGTCAGATTGTAAAGTGCATGATGACCCTTAGGCTGACCATACACTACACAATCTCCTTTAGATCTACAATCCACAATGTAATGCAAAGCCTGACTGCATACAAATTGAATGGACTGTTTAGGTTTGTCCGCATATTAGTTTGGTAAACCTAAAGGATATTGTGCAGAGATTGTACAATCAGACTGGCTGGTGTATGGCCAGCTTTAGGCTTTAAAAGAGAACCATTTCCCATGCATCTGCTGACATCTGCAGCAGAATTGAGTCCGGGAGTAAAAGAGAGGTACCCAGGAGGATTCAATTATATAACTAAAGCATATATATCTAAGACAGATGTACATATATATATATATATATATATACTGTTCATATCTATTCATCAAAATATAACAAACCATATATTGAACTGTAATAGAGGAGCTGATTTGGTAACTCATGGCAGTAAAATTCCAAGTGACATCTACCGTACAAACTAATAACTAATGATGAATTATAATAATCGGCCAATCTGTAATCTCGTGGTCCACCCCAAGCTATCATGAAATGCACACAGACATATACAGATGTAAATATTAATAAATTGTAGGTGATCTGTCACCATGATAGGCCCAGTGTGACGCCCTGAGAGGGGCCCCGGGGACCCCCGAAGTGTCACTCACCATACACACACCGTTCCCATCACACACACTGCTCTACGACACGGTTCTCCCCAACTCCGTGTGACGTCACTGCATCTCTGCACACCGGACACCAGAGCATGGGGCGCACAGTAACTTCCGGGTTCCGTTCTGGCGGCCATTTTTCCTGAGATAAACCCTCTGCTGACAAAGCTGTGGGTATTCGGGAAGATGGCGCAAGGGCCCATCTCGTAGACACGTTCTTTGTTCTGATACTATATAAACCCTTTGCCTCTTCTGAGAAGTTCTGTGCAGGCCATTACAGCTGGTTGAAGCGCACACCGGGCACGTCATCAGCGTGCGGTGTCTGTTCACGCGTGATCAGTGGTTGGCGTTCTGCTGCTGATATCGGGTACTTCGCTGGTATAGCGGGAGTTCTGTGTCCGTTTCGCGCTCATGGCGGACGCTTTCGGTGACGACCTGTTCAGTGTGTTTGATGAGGAGAGTCCGGCGGCCAGTAAGACTGCGCAGCCCGTCCCGGCCACCTCCACTGCGGGGGCCAGAGGGTAAGAATGGGGAAACTGGGGTCGTGCCAGAGGGTGAGGATGGGGAAACTGGGGGTGCTGCCAGAGGGTGAGGATGGGGAAACTGGGGGTGCTGCCAGAGGGTGAGGATGCGTCAACTGTGGTACTTCCAGAGGGTGAGGATGCGGCAACTGGGGTACTGCCAGAGGGTGAGAGTGGTACAGCTGGGTGTCAGGCCAAAGGGTAAGGATGGGGGAACTGGGGTCCAGCCAGAGGGTGAGTGTGTGGCAGCTGGGTCTCAGGCCAGAGGGTAAGGATGGGGAAACTGGGGTCCAGCCAGAGGGTGAGAGTGGGGCAGCCGGGTGTCAGGCCAGAGGGTAAGGATGTCAGGGAGGAGGGTGAGGACATTTCCATGTTTTATCAGTTTAAACACCCAGCAAGTATAGTATAATTCCTGCTGATCTTGTACTTCCTGTTTCCTGAGCTGACAAAGATTTTTTTGTGGACTCAGTGGTGCTATATCACTCAACCGCTCCCACTCTCGGATCTCCACAACATCAATGTTAATCAT